TTGAAACCTTAAAAATCTAGATTCCAGAAAATTTAGAAACCAAAAAAAAAGAATCTGGAAAAAATAGAAAATTCAGAATCCAGAAAATTCAGAAATCTTAAAAATCTAGATTCCAGAAAATTTAGAAACCAAAAAAAAATGGAATCTGGAAAAAATAGAAAATCCAGAATCCAGAAAATTCAGAAATTAAAAAAAAATAGAATCCAGAAAAAAATATAAAAACAAAAAACAATAGAATCCAGAAAATTCAGGAAATCAAAGAAAAATAGGCTCCAGACAATTTAGAAAATCCTAAAGAAAATAGAATCCATATTTTTGTAGAAAACCTAAAAAAATAGAATTCAAAAAATCTAGCCAAAACAAGTTAGAATCCAGAAAAATTAGAAAACCAAAAAAGAAAGAGAATCTAAATTTTTGATTTTTCTTCTTTTGGTTCATCATATTCATGCCAATGTGTCAAAGTTGCCAGAAGCAGATGAAGATGACTTTCAACAGTTTGATTCATTCTTGCATTTTTTTTCTGCAGCTGCAACTCTAAGCTTCTTTGCTTCTTCTGTGCAAGAAAGGTTGTTGAGAGAATTTTTTAGCCTGACATCGTTTCATATCCAGGAAGCATGCACTCCAGAACTTTATCTATTCTTTTAAAACTTCATGACATTTCCAAAAACGATCCTTCACAGGAAATGTTCTTAACACAAAACATTTTTTTCTTGGGAGGAACTATACCACCAAAAAAAAAATATGGCAGTATTTTTCAGAGAATAGTTCCCTATAAGAAAATATTTTTCCAGGCAGTAACCGGCAGAGAACTGTTCCCTACCAGAAAAATAAAAAAAAACAGGCAGTACCCTTGAGAGAACTGTTCCCTAAAGAAATAAATCTTTCCAGGCAGTATCCTGCAGAGAACTGTTCCCTACAAAAGAAACTCTTTCCAGGCAGTATCCGATCACATCTACATTCCTGTAAATCATCCATGAAAAATGCCGAAAAAAAGAAAACATCCTTATTTTCTCTTATTTCACTTATTTTCACTTATTTTCACTTATTTTCGCTTCGTTTAACTTACTTGCAAATAATAACCGCCTATATTTGCTTATATCTTCATTATTATGTTATAAGTTCACCTAAAAATTTAGAGGAACTTAAAAGAACATATTTTCAGATCTCATATTTAAACAAGATATTAGGAGGATAATAGTAACTTATAGTATACTTATAAGTTCATTAAGTGCCTGAAGTGCAAATATCTGCTTTTTGTGGTCTTAGCAATTCTTGATGCTTCAGCCGTTGTTGCACTATTTCTCGCATTTGTGACAGTTTCACCCATGGAACACAAACGAGACGCGACCGTGGCGGGCTTGTCTTGGCCTTCGAATCCTACCCGTGGACTCGCTCCTACCAATCCAGTTCAAGTACCAGACGCCCAGACTTCTGCACTATGTCACTCAGGAGCTCCCGACACTACGACCAACCCTACGTCGGCACCTTTGGTCACTGACAGTACGGCACCTGCCACGGATACTATGGCCCATCCTGATACATATTCAGGACCAGCACCTCCTTGCGTCCCGTTTCCAATGGAGTCAAGTTCTGCACACAACTACCTCCATCGTGCTCAATTCTCTTCTCGCGTGGTTCACCAGATCCAATTCAAGGTCATTACCCACTCCAACAACACCAGGGAGCTTTTCATTGAAGAAATCCCCTTGCTAGGGCATTCCCGCTGTCGTGACCCTGAACACTACTTTTATGGTCTTTCGGGCAATTGGGAGTGGTCCCTACGTACAGCGGACTATTGGCGACATCATTTCGAGATTCCCCTTGTACACGGACACCATCCTTTTCACAATGTGCCCATTGAGACGACATCTCCAGCAGAGGAACCGAGCCTTACCACCCGGATCCACGAATTAGCCACGGATCTTTCTGAGGCCTTGAAGGCTGCTACGGCATCTGGGGAATTCAATGAGACGTGGGCGATGGTTGAACGCATGAGCTTCCACGATGCTTTCGAAGTCCTTCTACAAGCTCCGAATTCTTCTTCTTCTGACTGAAGTGATCGCCCGTTTGTACATTTGGTTTTTACAGGTTCACTCTCACTGGTGTATTGCCGATTCCGCCAGCGAAGTTCTTCCAAAAAATCCAACCTCGCTATATGCGAGGTGTGTGTGTGTACCATCTGAACAGATGTAAAACTTCTGATTGGTTTTCACTAGTTTGCAGGGGGGTGCAGAGCACAGTGGAGACTGCACCCAACGAAGCTATCCACTTGTGCTGGAAGCAGAGTCTGATCAACTCTGTGTACCTGCAAAATTTGGTTTCAACTGTTGATCAAGCTGTTACACTGCGTTGTTTCGAATCTACACGGTTGCCACAATCTGTATTGCATGCATCAGAACCTTCCTCAGATTTTCGCCGAAACCATATCGCCGACAGTATTATGATTTTTTGACATATTTTCGCCGAGATCATGTCGCCGACGAACTTTGGGTTATTTTGGGAAACAATCGCCGAAACATTATTGTGGATTCTCAACATGCTGGTTAAAACTCTATGGATTCTGGTTTTGACTTCGTTTGACAACATTGGATGCCCTACATCGTTTTCGAGAAGTACCTCATGTGGCTCCTTTACTAATCTAACGATCTAGGCTGGTTTGCATGTTTCAGGATTCAGTTCCTGCCGGATCATATAATGATCCATTCTTGTCTAGTGTGTGTGATTTCCCCTGATTTTCTCGTATCTGTCCTCATCGAATCTGTTTAATCAGTATGCTGTATGCTCGACCTAATCTATCAAATCCACCTAGCCTATCTATCCCTTGTAATATACAGTACACATTCAAAAATATATGCAATTCATCTATCTAACTAGGTACACGGCTCACAGGCGGCCTACATACCTATCCATCGCTCTATCTGCCTATCTACTGCATTCATATCAATCGATCCATCCATCCATCGATCCATCAATTCATCCATCCATCTATCCGCCCATCTGTCGATATTGGTACATTAAAAATGAGATCAGCTAGGTGTAGCTCCACACTCTACCTGGAAGCTCCAGATTCGAGGACCCAGCATGTGCACCTCCACCCAGGACTGCAGAAACAAAAACACAGCTACATATATATATGTATATATTATCTCTCTCTCTCTCTCTTTCTCTCTCTTTCTCTCTCTCTCTCTCTCGTCTCTATCTGTTTGGCGATTCATTTGTGTATTGTACTAATTGTATCTATATAATCTAATCTAATCCGAACAATCCACCTATCTATCCACCTATCTATTCATCTATCTATCCGATTATATCCCTTTATTTGCATCCATAAATGATAGGCCCATGGGCTCTGGATATGATTGTCTCCCGCAACCTTTGGAACTATCTCCAGGTACCAGAGTTTTGTTTCTTCTTTGGTCCTTGAAACACTGGCGATTCCTATTGCAGTCCCCCAAGGTTAGTTCTATATGGACAAACTCCATCTATTGCAACTGACAACCCCGGCAAATCACATAGTTCTTCCATCATCTTCCATCAATGATCATGTTGTAACGAGTAGGGTAACCCAAGAATTCAATGGTCTCCTGAGTGTCTCCATATGTCCCCGTTCAAGGGCGAGCTGCATGACACTGGCCAAGCGTACTAAGGTATGACCTCAGTGGGCCAACATCTCCATGTGGGCAGTGCATGATAAATCCCCAGTACTTCCCCATCCTAAGCCATGTTTGTTCGTTATATCCCAGAAACATATCCTCAATGACTCAATGCATTCTAAGTTCACCCATTATGGCCTACATGTGGCTTCATCTGGGCTGTTTTTTGTGAACGTAAGAAACATAAACGTGGAAATGTGGCAATTATACATACTAACATAGATCATCTGGGCTTTCAGCCTAGGAAACAGATCCTCAAACAAACAATTGAACATGCCACATCTTCTCATCAATCCGCTAATCCATCAATGAGGGCGATGATGGGCGATGTGAAAGTACTGGTACGTTGAATCTCTCCGCTTGTCCTTTTAAGTGTGAGTTTTGCTGTTTTTCACTGCTGTGCTGTCAAGAAAAGAAGAGGCATCTTGGGAACATCACCAACAAAGTGTTCAATAAACAACGGACTCAAACTTGATTGGAATGTTTAAAACAGCGCTTGGAGAATAAAGAGAACGTAGAAAACCGTTCCGGAAAGCAACTGAGAGCTAAGCAGCAAAACTCAGCACGACCATTTTATATCTGCACCAGTCCCTGACCTCCGGATATCGAATTCAGCTGTTGCCCACCATCTGTAGGTGCCAGCTGCCAAGCCAGCCATGGTGACCATCACACTCTGCTGATGAGTTGGAATTTTCGGGAAGTGATCCAACTGTGTCAACTCCCCCGAGCATGTGGCTTATAAACATAGGATACCAAGCAGTCATATGGGGCTGTCTAAAAACCCCGATATCAATCAAATGGTGTTTCCACGCGTTATCGTTTTTTTTTCCTCTTATCGTTTTTCCAAGTGCTGGCTTCACAACCTCATGAAACAATTCATATTGTGTTTTCTTTGTGGGATATCACCTTACAACCACCAGCTTCACATCTGTTTTTCGGAGAAAAGCTTGCATCTGCAAAGCTTGCTGCTTCGAACATGACCCATAAACAATATATAATGTATAGCATCGTTATCGTTTTTTTCCTCTTATCGTTTTCTCGAGTGAGAACTACATATAGCTAATGGGGGATCATGGCATACTAAACGAATAGGTGCCGGGTTACTATACTCTCCCATATATCCATGATCATTCTCTCTCTCTCTCTCTCACTCTATCTCTCTCGCCATCGCCCTCTCCGAGAGTTCATTCACAGACTGAAGGCGAGCCAACCATTGAGTTATACTGTTATGCTCCCAAATTACTCATGTATCACCATTCATAGTTGATTTTCCCATTCAAACCTCCATCTAGTGCGGGGATTTTCTAGAGGCTATTTGGAAAAAAAAAACGCTGGGATGGTCAGCCCTCAGCCCTTTTCGGCCCTCAGATCTTCTTCCGCTTCTTTCCTCGCTCCACCCGCTGCAGGGCCTCCTCCGCCTGACGTGCAGCCCGCTGCAGCCGCGCTGCGCTGCGCGCTGCTCGGCGCCGCGCATTGCGCGCCAGGCGCTGCTTCGGGCGCCCGGGGAAGGAGGCTTCGGCCGTGGAGATGAGCAGCTCGGCTTCTTCCTGCACGAAAAATGATCTAATTACCCGAATCTACCCAATCTACCCAGAACAAAAATGCCACCCCTGCCACCTGGCTGCGGTGTGCGGAGCGCCAGCGTTTGCGCCGCTCGCGGGTCATCCACGACAGCCACTCCTGGCGCAGCGCCGGCCACGGCCTGGGGCCGCTGGCAGAGCACAGCAGGCGACCGCGCAGGTGGAGCAGGGCGTCCACGGAGGCAATTGTAGGGGACTGCACGCGGCCTTAACGGCAGGATTTATGGTAGATATATCGAACTATAGTGAATGGATGTGAATTTGGGTGATGAAGCAACTTTTAACTGGTTTGTGTTTAGCAAGGGGGGTCTGTATGGTTCTTGAGGCATAGGCATAGATGCAAGTCGTAAGTTCGAGATCTTATCTTGCTAGTTTAGGTGCAACATGGCACATGCTGCATCTGTGTGGAACCTAAATGCCAAATTGTGGGTTTTTGTGCAAGCTCAACTGTCTTTGAGTTTGGGGTGTGGGGTGGGGTCTTGTATTTGACTCAGGCTTGGGTCTGATTGCCTGGGTGAAGTTCTTTGAAAAAATGGAGATATTACTGATTGGTGACAGCGTTTGGTCAAGGAGTCAAGCGCCATATGTATGGCAGCTGGTGAGCCCTGGTTCTTCTGCATTATCTATATCTATATCTATATATATATATGTGTGTGTGTCTAGTTTGGTTTCTTTTAAAATAAATAAATAACTGAATATATATATATAAAATAAATAAATAGATAAATAAATAAATACATATATATATATATAATATGTATATATACATATAATATATATAAATATATTAAAATATTATATATATATACATATTAAGTATTATATATATATATTATATTGTTTTTTGTTAAATTGCCACCTTTCCCATATACACTTGTGTTCCACAAATTAAACAGTTTCACGAGTCATGAATATTATTTATCTTGCAGCCTGCTAGCGTACTACTGTTTTGTACATATGTGGCACATATTGACACCGTCTATGCGCATATGTTCACTGGAGTTCGTCCGAATTTCGCCAAGTGGCGCCCGACCCAGCGCCTCAAATCCAGCACCAAGCGGAAATTCAGACCGAGATCATCCAGATCGCCTGGCCCAAGAAGGTGCCCTCTGATTTTAGTGTTTGAAAACTATTTGAAGAAGGAAACATAGGAAAAATGAGATTCTAAACCGCGGGATTTGGGGATACATTATGTTCAAATGCCGCATTTGGCAATCTCCAGCGTTGAACCGCGGTGACTAGGGTGATGTGACCCTTGGCTTTTCCTAGTGAGTTCCTGGATGCAACATGCCAGAAGATATAGGTCTTGGATGTCTTTGGTTTGCCACTACAATGACATTGTCGAACCCCCAAACTTGGATGGTCTATATTGGGTGACCTCCATAATGTGCTCAAACTGGCACATGTTCCAAACAATCTGTCATTGATTGAAATCCTGCGGGCTTGCCCTCCTTTCTTCAGCGCAAACCAAGAGATTTTGAGATACAATTTTTAGACAAAGAGTCTTAGTGAATAATAACATTATGTTATAAATAGGTGAGTACCAATGATTTATAACATGTTATAATAAT